AACAGAAAGCAGGAAAGAAGCGGAAAAAATTAATTGACATTTACACCGTTGCGTTGAAAAACAATAATCCACTCATGTAAGTATCAATTAATTACATAAGTTAGAAGGTTTCAGAAGAGATTTCAAATAGGAGGCATGCATACGACTGGATAGCCATAAATAAATCAGGCATACTCTTACAGAGGATCAGAAATCCTACCTATTTTCTTTAACACTATCATTACAGACATATACAAGATAAATATTCCATTTATTCTTTCCAAAATCTTCATTATATCTGGCGAAGGAAATGGTGCAAGTATATTTCCTATAAAATTCATGCCATTTTTAAGTGAAAGCTATGCTAACATTCTATAATTACGTGTCATCTAGTCCACCTTATTCAATACCAAAACAGCCTCGTATAGCCAAAACAGATTGCTTGAAATACACGGACACCAAACATTAGCTTACTGCTTACCGTTTCACCATCATCCCGGGTGGTACCAGTGGAATTTATATAAATATATATAGGTTCCTTTGCATCCATCCATTGCAAGTACATCAGTTCTGCAATCACAAGCTCCGTGACAGCAGGAACCAACTGGCATCCAATCACATTTTTGAATCAATACTACAAACATCTGCATGTAACTTTTTAAGAGAGAAAACAGAACAATTTGAAACACTTAGACAAAAAGAGGGGAGGGATACACATAATTACAACAAACAGTAAATACATATTTGATCATATTCCTTATCATCTTTTCTTAAGGACAAAAAAGAAGAAGAAAAGATAGACAAGTTCACATCAGCATAATAATTTTATAATATATCAAACCAGATCCTTAAACAAACATTGATTCACTTAACACCAAACACTGCCTTATTTTATTCATGTCTAAATCTAACCACCACTGTAAAAGGAAATATTATCGACCAGATCCGTGAGTATAGTATAACTACTAGCATCATATATATATATATATATAGCCTGCTACCATTATCCAATTAGTTAACACATCAGAATGGCTTTTTGACTGGGCTCTTCTTATTACTTTGAGTCCATGATGCCAAGTTGCCAACTATTTTATACTCCTCTGCCTTAGCCAAGCCTTTGGTTGCATTAGGGAGGAGGAGAGAGGATGGAAGTATCAAATTTTATTTTTTCATAAAAGGGAATATGTAATCTGACAACTGCAATGCAGCCACACAACTAACAAAATACAAGAATTAATGTATGATTGGACAGCTTAATATTACAAAATACCTGTCATGCCACAACACAGAGTCCCCAAATTATAGTTCTTAAAATCATAAACTTCAGCATACTTACCCCACATTAATTACTACAACAAAAAAGGAATTATTGCACAAGAATACTTACGGGCATTCCTATGTAAACAATTCTTCCATGAAGCAACAAAGAAGGCAAATCTGGTGGAGGCCTCCTTGGCCTGTGCTCATTGTAAGAAACCGATCTTTCCACCTAGTTCAAAATCAAGCAAGTGCAAAGAATCAGAAGACCTCCAGCATAGGAGCAAATAGACATCATACTGAAATGGATGTTAAGATAAGACCACACATCAACAAAGCAGCCATTATAATCGTTTAGAGTAAGCCTGCTAATGGAGCAAACAATTTAACTCTTTCCAGAAATTTGAGCTATAGCAATGAGCAGAAAGCTCTTTGTTCCACCTTTAGACAAACAAAATGCAAGAAAATCACTCATATGAATTATGAACACCGCGAAACGAGCTAATTGTGGCGTTCACAATCAACAATTGTACAAGGAAATGCTTTAGCCTTCACATTCCACAGTAGCATTATGTACTGGAATAGCAATCTTCTTCAATTCTATCTATTGGCTTGTGATAGCTTTTCCCTCATAAGTACTAAAAATCTTTTTCAAAAGGACATTACTTTGCTTTTCTTCCTGAATTTCCACTATTGTTTAGTATTACCTCCTATACAATGATGAATATGGTGTCACCCACAATAGGTCTCACATCTATCTACAACACTCAAATCTCAAAAATGCAAGTTCCATCAAACTCCACACCCAAGTAATCAAAGAGACAACTCGATCACCATTGTAGGTATGAGAACTTCTCAGCATCCCTAAGGCCTTATTACTCAAGATAATCACGGTATTCACACTCGACATCATTAGTTAAAATTACTGACATCATAAAGCTCCACAGTCCATACAGACTACAATTACATTATCTAACCAGAAACCAATTTCCCATAATTCTATCGAAGTCACACTTAACAAGACTTACGCTTTGTTTTCCTCACAAATTTTCATTACCACTCAATAATCAATCTCAAACACACAAAATCCATCAAAATCAAACAACAAACACCAAAATAGTTATCATCCCTTGTTATAAATTTCTAAAATTACCATATAAAATACAAAAAATCAATAAAATAAGATACAAATTCGATCAAATTGGAAGAAATTAAAGCAACAGCGCAGTTATACAAGGTACCTGAGCAGGGGTAGCCATGAGTTGAGGAGATTCAAACAAATCCAAATAAGGAGGAGAATCCGAATCAATAGGCCTATTAAGAAACGTTTCAGGAGAATTAGCAGCAACAGAAGCAAGTTTCTTAAGAAAGGGGTCTTTAGGGTTAACTGGGGGCATGGGAATTTGAGCAGAATTTCTGGGTTTCATCGATAAATTTGTTCTGAAACTTCTTCTAGTTGAATTAACAGAGGTTGAAGACGATGAAATTGAGCAAGAAGCCATTGGAACCTGCAAACAATTTGCCATGGATAATAATCTGAGAATTTTCAAGCTTTGTGATATGAAAATGGTGGTTTAATTTGTTGCTTGTTTTGGGGATTTTGAGTTTCTGGTTAGCCTGCTACTGCTGAGTGCTGAGGCTGAGCAGCTAATTCCAGAAAGAGTTTGTGATGAGTTGGGCTAATAAGATGGGCTATATTTTCCCTCAAAAAAAAAAAAAGATGGGCTATATTTTGAGGCCCTCTTACTCGTTTACTCCATAGTCCGTAGAATATTATTCCGTGCATCCGGATGAATATAACCGATATATGAAGTAATCGAGTAAGCGGTCTAGCTTTATATGGTTTGGACGAAACCTTCTAAACCTATTAATGATGGTTCGGTAAGTTCTTTCATCTTATCTAAAAAAAAATATAGATTGAAACACTTTAGTCTTTAACTATTTACAATCCTTAACTCGTTCCTAAATAATAGCAAGTTGGAGTTGTTCTTGTTAATGTATAATTTTGAGTTTTAATATGGAGTAATAATTTACGTAGTAATAATGAGTTTTAGACTATTTCATAAAAATATTATTGTATACTACATATATGAGTAAAGAAATAAAAATTGTTTAAAGATTGCTATGAGTAAAAGTTTTAAAATAAAGCTTAAATACTTTATTAAAAAAATGAAATTGATGAATTTCAAACTTATTTGAGAAAATTTATTGATGTGTGTGTTCATATTATACCAAAATTAAGTTTTGGGGCATATTGTTAAAGTTTTGGGTTAATTTGATTCAAATTCTATTAGCAAAGAATGATACTCAAATAGTGACATAGTAGATGTATTTGAATTTAGTTCAATTTCATTTTACCTTGTTTGCATTCAACCTATAATATATATATATTTTTTCCCAATGGTAAGAAACAAGAAAACATTAGGAAACCCTCCTCATGAGGGGAATTCCCAATGCGTTGGACGTAAGGATGGGAAATAGAGAAGAATTATTACAAGGAACTATATCTATACTATCACTAACTAAATGAACAACATTTGCTATCCAGTCAGCTGCTTGATTTGCCTCCAGAAAGATATGACGAATGCTCCAACTGTCGAAATTGCTAAGAAGAGAACAAATGTTTTTAACAATATGATCAATTTGTCATGGTATTGACCAGAGGCCTTTTAACGGAGTTGATTACTAAAAGATTTTCACCTTCAATTATAGTATTTTTGATCCCACACTCAAGAACTAGAAGAATGCCTTTATGAAGAGCCATGACCTCTATTATGAAAACTTTGGTGGTGCCGAGGTTGAAAGCGCGAGCTCTTAAAACTGTCCCACTGCTATCTCTGATGAGAATCCCTGCTGCTACTGACTTGTTGAGTACTGAACCGTCAAAATTGAATTTGTAGAAATTTGTTGGTGGCGCCTCTCAGGAAACCATGATAGTATTTGTTGGAGAATGAGGAGGAGTAGATGAGGATCTCCGAATAGGAGATCCCAATGAAGAAAAGATATCAGTGAGATTTTTGTAGTGTCACTCATTGAACGCAAATTGCGCTAGGTGGTAAATTCTAGGAATATTAAAGGGTTCTTGGCGAAAATTATAGAATTACACTCTTTCCAAATACTCCAGATAAGGAAGATAAATTTCCTAATAGTTAGTTTGTGTTTTTTTTAAGCATAAAAGTGCTTCAACGAAATCAGTGTAGGGAATTGTGCAATCCAACCAATTCTTAACTAAGGTATGGTTCCAAACATCTTTAGAATGTATGCAAGAGAGAAAGAGATGGTTCGCTGTTTCACTATGAACATTACATAGACCACAGTTACTAAAAAGGATTATGTTTCTTTTGTAGGGTCAAGTAATTAGTAGTGGATAATTTTGTCACGAGTATATGGACAAGTTTTTCCTTAAAAATCCTTCTAATTTTCAATATCTCACTTCGAAAATAACATGTTAACAAGACATTCCAATAATTTGGTTCAAGTCACTGTCTCACTGAACTCAGGAAACTTGTGAGTGCAGAGTGTTAAGCCAGATTATTCTGAGGCCATGTTTTCATACACCAAGTCACCAACTGAATAACATGGCGTATAATGGCAAATTGGCAAGCTATCTATTAGTGTAATACTAAATGAAGGCGGTTCACAAATTACAACATACAATACTGCCATAAGTCTTACTTGCCATCCTCGACATACTACAGAGACCAACAAAGTGCCAGCAAACACGCCAGTATTTGCATTATTAATCAAAGAAACAAGAAGTCAAGTACAGCAAAACGTTAATCTTTTTATAAACCAGGAATTCTTAAAATAGCATCCAGAACAGATTTATACATCATTACCATCAGTCGAAGGTCTGAAAAATAAAGCAATAGATTTCCAGAACTAAACATGAAAACAAGAACTGAACAAAAACACCACTAACATATATTCTACCCACCAAAACTGCATTCCATAACCCAAAAGCTTCAAGCTATGATTTATGAACATCCTTATAATAAGAGTGATAAAGGCTCAGTGAGCAGCGGCAGGAACAGCAACACCATTTCCATCAGCAGCAACAGTCTGTGTCTCCCCATCCTGACTTTCAAACACCTTCGCAATCTTGTCAACAGGCACAAAGGGCAAATAGTTGGCAACTCTGTAACCCCTCTCAGCACCAACTTTCACAGTTTGATTATACTTCTCAGAGCACAAGGCTGCTGTGGGAACAACTACCTCAGCCACCTTGGGGAACAGGGGAAGGCGGTTGAGTGAGCGCCATGCTGAAACAGCATACTGCTCTGCTACGGGCTCATACTTGGTATAGATCTCTTTAGCTGTGGGCTCGTATTTGGTGTATACATCCTTTGCAAATCCAGATGCAGTATCCACCACACCTACACGTTGAACTTCTGAGGCTACGCCACGAGCCACCTCAGGTGCCTTTTGGGCAGCATCAAAAGCTCTGCTGGATACCTGCTTCACTAGGTGTGGAACACTATGCTGCACCTTGGACAAAGTGTCATCAACCTGCCAATATCAATTCAACATAATCAGAATACAGGACTGCTAGGGCAATAGAATTGCAATTCTTTTCTTACTCTTTTTCCAATGATCAGGTATGACATACTGACATAGTACAAAATACAAATGGTATTACGAGTAGCTTAAAATAATCATGTAATCAAATGGAAAGACATCTTATTTCAGCTGGAACTGGACTACTCGCTCTTACTCCTATTTCAAATATGCCAAAGCTACCAAAGATTCAAAGGTAACATGAATGAAACTACCGAATTACAGCATTACACTAAAATGAAACCTTAATCATCATCATTGACAATATATCCATTCAAAGAAGCGTAAAATCAAGTAGTCTAGTGCAAACTAAAAGCCTAAAAGGTTAATTATCTCTCTTGAGTAATAAAGCCAAGTTTTTCTACAAAAAGAGGGTTAGTGAACGATAAGTTTTCTTCAAAACAAACTACATAATATGCATAACATTCACAATAGACAGTATATGCACAACATTCTCAACTTAAATCTCAGCCAACTCGATCAAAGGAATCGTAAGTTGTCATATCTGTTTTTGTTACTTGATAGTACCCTATGCCAACACATAACAATTCTCTATCACCATTTAAAACACAATGATATATAACATGAATCAAGTGGCTGACCTTGCGATCAACAAACTTGAGAAGTTCAAACGGAACTTCATGAAACCGGTCAGAAACCGGACGGACAACAGTCTTAACTGTACCCTCGACAGTCTCAACACCAGGCTTCAACGGCCCGGCCTTGTCCTTGGCATAACCATAGATGTTTGAAAAGCATAAAATGGTTTGCAGTGCAGTAGAATGCACAAATTCAAAGTACTTCAATCTTTCTTCTTCGCTTCCACTCTTCTGTAACATACAAACAACGAAAACAACAATCAGTAACTTCTTATAAAACACTTTCATAATTCCATCATTAATCATTAATTGTAACAAATTTTCTCAATCCAAGGTCCAATTTACACTTTTATAACGCCATTATTATTCATATTTTCACTAACTATACTTTAATTACGCCTTTATTATTCTTCAATTTAAGAAAAATGAATTTAAAAATACAGATTCAAACCAAAAATCTGTCTAATTCAGACAAAAATCCAAAAAAAAACAATTAAATGATTGAAGTGTTCTGAAAATTAACAGAGCGAAAAAATTCAAACAACATATTATTTGAATAAAGTAAAGAAATTCGAGCAATAAATCGATAATTAACAATCGTGAAACCTTAGAAATCAAATCGATAACATAAATCAAGTCAAACAAACACCAAAAACAGACAAGAAAATCATAAAAAAAATCATAAATTGAAAAGTCAATTGAAAAAAATCACAAAAATTACAAAATTAGAAAGAAAACTACAATACGAAACAAAAATCATACCGCTTGCTTTTCAACTTTGTAATCACCTTCCGCCATTTTTTACAACGCCTTCTCAAACAAGAATCAAAGCGAAAAACTTAGATTTAACAACAAAAATTAACGAAACAATAAATATGAGGAATGAATTGGCGTGAATTTATGAAAGAAAGAGGAATGATTCGTTCCAAATCTGGAGAGAAAATAGGAGGAAGAGAGAGAAAAGTCGGGGAATTTGTGACGATATGATGAGCGAAATGCATGAAGTGGTCCGTATATAAATATAAAGGGGATGGGAATTCGGGAAGCCGTGTGCGCCGTGCGGACGGAGTTAATAATAATTGTAGACCAATAGTTTGCTTAATTTGGGCAATTTTTTTGACTACTTGGTCCTTAAGCTAACCATTCACCACCTTTCCTTATTTTTCTATCTACTCTGTATAATATAAATAATTAAATACTCATATATTATATTCCGATTTTTTTTATTACCGAACAATATTATGCTAAGTTTGATTTAGTTGAAAGTTTACTTCTATTTAGAGATATTTTACGGGTGAATATTTTTCAGTCCCCCCTATTATCAAAGTGTCTAAATACATTAAGAATGATATATGAAAAATGAGATTTGTTATGAATAAATCATGCACAGTACACATTAAGTTTTAGAATAAAAATATAATACTCAGTTTAGATAAAAGATGAGTAAATAAGAAAAGCAAAAAATGACATTCGGTATAAAAAGTTTAAGGGCTACCTATTATTATAGACTTTAGGCCAAATTAGAAAATAATACCTGCTAAAGACCCCGATTTTGTTTTTAACACCTGTTAAAAAAAAAGTTTAATTATAACACCTTCAAAAATCCCAAAATTTTGGTTTCACCACCCACTAACAGATTTTTGGATGGAAACCGTTAGTGGGGCCACCATGTACACGTGTCAGTTGTTAATTAGTTTAAAAAAAAATTTAAAAAAAAAAAAAAAAACCTAACCCCCTAACTCAGCCAGCCACCGCACCGGCACCACCTGCGGCCAGCCACAAACGGTGGCCTTCTCCCCTGCCTACCCCATAACCAACCAACCACCAGCCATCGATTTTCGCCGCCGAACCACCTCTAACACCGGAAATCGGCTCCCCCACCCTTAACCCACCTCGAAAACCGCTATCATCCTTCACAAAGCCGACAAAGTACGGTTCCCCTCCCCAACGCAACCCCCTTAAATGGACCTCCTCCCTTCCCGCACCGCCGAAACCGGCGCCCCCTCCCTTCCCACACCACTGAAACCGGCTCCCCTTCCTTTCCCTCAACCCAGAAACCGACCTCTTCCCTTCCCACCTTCGAAAACGGTCCCAAGCTCCCGATGACTAAGGTTTCTGGGCTAGGTTGGGGTGGGGGAAGCAAGGGAGGTGTCGGAAATTGGTGATTGGCGTCGGAAATTGGGAATCAGGGTAGGAAATAGGGAAGGGGAAGGGAAGAGGCGACTGGCCGCAGGTGGTGCCGGTGCGGTGGCTGGCTCGATTAGGGGGTTAGGTTTTTTTTTTTTTTTAAATTTTTTTTAAACTAATTAACAACTGACACGTGTACATGGTGGCCCCACTAACGGTTTCCATCCAAAAATCTGTTAGTGGGTGGTGAAACCAAAATTTTGGGATTTTTGGAGGTGTTATAATTAAACTTTTTTTTTAACAGGTGTTAAAAATAAAATCGGGGTCTTTAGCAGGTGTTATTTTCTAATTAAACCTAGACTTTATAGTATATAATAACTTGTAGAAGTTAATAAAGATTACAATAAATGACTGTTTTTCAATAAGCTTAGGATTTGTTTTGATACGATTATTTTCAGTTTAGTTCAGCTCCTAATTTCCTTCTCTTATAAAATATTCAGTTCAGTTCAGCTCTAATAAGTCCAGTTCAGTTCACTTTAGTTCTAATAAGTTCAGCTCAATTTAGCCAATTAGAACAGACCCTTACACTTCATAATAAAGTAACCAATACCATTTTTGAAATGAATATTTCGTATTAATACGTGCGTTAAACATTTCTAATTATAATCCTTGTTATAACTTATTATTTAGAATATTGTTTTAATATTACACAAAATTTAGTCTAGAAACATCTACTGATCTACATGGTACAAATTTAGGTCTAGAAACATTTTATTTGAATTTTTAATTAGCCGAGTTATGCAGAGTTAGTTCATAATAAAGGGAGATATGGTAAGATTTGTTTTGTTTGTCTTTTATCAAAGATGAAGTCATTTTTATGAAGCTTATTATGGGCGGTGGGACATGGAGATAATAATTATTATCTCAAGGTTATTATGTATATGGAGTTATGGACTACGTGTACTTGTATAACATGGATTGGGTATGGGATGTGAAAATGTGATCATGGGATAAGAGTAAAGTATGATAAGGTATTTTTTTTTACGAAATATTAAATAGATTATCTTGTAAAAATCCAATTACCCAAGCCTAGGGGTTTGATGAAAGAAACAAAGGAAGGTGGTGTCATCTTCCAACTATAGCATTTTATTTTTTTCAAATAGTTCCAACTTCCAACTATATCCTAACTAGTAACAACAATTTTTAATTTTAATATTCACTTTGGTGCTTTCTTTTTGAAGTTTTGTGTTAATGACATGTTAATTTTAAAATAGTGTTCATTTACATAATTTTATAAGGTTTCGACCTATTTGATATTTTGAATGTTAATACCAGATCGAAGGTGCATAACATATACTTTTTTCTATTCATTTACTTAAATTTTTATTTTGAATGGTAACATAGATTAGTGACCGGTAACAATTAGTCTTCAAACTTGTGATCATAGAAGAAATTAGGAACTTGGCTAGTTGGCTGAAGGAATGAACTGGTGCATAATCCACTAAGTTGTCCTAAGAACAATGGCTGAAGAAGCTCGCCGCCTAACCAAAGCAGCAGCCACTTCAATTCTATGATTTCTTGCAACAGTTGTACTGTACTAGTTTTGTTGGTTGATTTGCTTTTCCAATGCCATAAAAAATTTTGTGATTATGAGGTACATAAAAGGAAAGATTGATTGACTAAAGAGCACAAAAGTAGGGGCTTGTGATGCATCTATATTTTATGTGATGAGGCGTGATGGACATAAAATACTAGTATAGTAGTAGGCTTCAACCATCAACTTAAAATTCTCAATATAAAAGATTAAGGGGGCGTTTTGGTTCATAGAGTGGTATGAGTTTGTAATTAAGAATGAGGTTAAAATGGTATTGGATTGGAACTTGATACTTAATATCATGCGTTTGGTTCAATTTTGGAATGAAAATCTCATCCCTTTAATACATTTTATTTGATACTTAAGGGAATGAAATGAGCCAAACCCACCTCCCCAAAGGTTTTTAAGCCCATGTTCCACGAACCAAACGCCCCCTATAGGGTTCCTTGGCTCCAAGGATCAAGGGTTTAGAACTTTAGACAATTAGGGCCTGTTTTCACTGACTTAACTCAGTTGAATTGAAGTGAGCTAAGCTGAACTAAATATTTTATAAGAGAAGGAAATTAGGAGCTGAACTGAATTGAACTGAGAATAAACGTACGAGAAAGACTTTAGAGTGCCCATCGAGATATTACTCCGTCCGCAGTATATTGCGCGCAAATCTTCGAGTTGGGCAATTTGAACATCCTATAGTACGTTTTCATATTTTTCTTATCACTTTTATAACACTGCACCTCTCTTTATCTCTGTCCTCCCGCGCGTTTCTGAACTCTCCATTGAAGCGGCTTTGAGCTCTTTCTATCTTCCATTGAACCAGCTTCTGAGGTAAGGTTTTACTTTTTAATAATCGAATATCAATTTTACCGCTTAGGGTTTATCGATGATCTAATTGTCAGTATAATTGATTTAGGGTTCTTCTAAAGTGGTTTATTCAACTTTTGGCTATAATTACTGACGTCATGAAAGATTATAGCAAATTAGCAATCAATTTTGTTGCTAGACTTTTTCTATGTGGAATTTACGTTGATATTCTTAAGCAAGAGGAATTTAATGTGTGATCTTTGGAGCTTAATTGGATAATTGAATCAATTTTGGTTGCAAATGTGTTGCATTTGGTTGTTTATAAGTTATAACCCTTTACTGTAGAATGGAACTATGAAAATGTACCCGTTTCCCTGGACCAGGGCGGCCGTGCCTCCCGCGCTCGCTCAAGGAAGGGCCTGGTTGAACTGACAATACAGGGATTTTCACATGAATTCTGGTTCTAATCCATACAACTTATAGTGAGTGTTTAGAGGGAGGTTACTAATGTTACTTTTTAGGCATATGAGTTTTAGGCTCTAAGGATTGCTTTAAGGATGATTGAATTGAGCAAGAGCACACCTTGCTCTTTTGATTATGCTATTGATGGAAATATTCATAGACCTTCCATTGTATGTGTAAAACATGCCACTAGTGTTTTAGATGGCTTGGTAAAAGATGTTGATGAACGATATAAATTGAATTAACAAACACTTTATTTTATTATCTGTATTTTTGGTAAAAGATGGTGATGAACGATATAAATTAAATGATTTGATGCTTAGTCAGTCCATTGAGACTATCTTATCTTAATAAGTAAAACTTAGTTTGGACCAATAGTTTTAATATGAACACTAGTGAATTAACAAACACTTTATCTGTTATTTTGTTTAACATGCTCCACTTTGATCATATATTATCCATCATACTCATCCAACTCATGTGATGTGGGCTTGAATTAATTGCCAAAAATACAAGTAATTCTGCCTTTTTATTAATTGCCAAAATCCTTGTTTAAGAAAAATTAGGAGAGAAGTTATTGAAAGCGCATTATGTAATGAAAGGATAGGAAAGAGTGTTGTTTGTTGCAATGTTCCCTAGTTATTGTTTATTAGTATAATCAATTCAAATCAAACTCCTATATTTTGCAATCTTCAAACACCCATTCTTGAATGCATTTCATATTCTTTCATGTTGAATACCACTATTTTGTAAAGAAGTATATTTGATTTATTTAAAACCATATAGGTTTTTGCAGGAGGAAAATATGGCAATGCTTGCACTTACTGATGACGTGATCTTGCCTCTTAGTACTGTAAACGAGCTGAAGCTAGAAGGATCGATGACCGATAATGCTTTGATTATCACTATGGCTTCAACTCAAAGTAATTTTTCAGAAACTTGTTCATATCTAAAAACTGATATTCGTTGTATATGAAAGTTCTCTAAACTGGATATTTATGTAACACATTCTTACAAATAATGAAATAAGAATGAATGGTTTTAGGAATGGTTCTAAGCCAATTTTCTTAGACACGTCAGTTTGTGAATTTGTTTATCCGGAATTGTTTTGCAATTTGGGACATGGAAACTCATGCTATCAGGCTTTGGAGGTTTTCTCGGTCTTGAGAAGATTTAATGCAATTGATTAATTTTTTTTGGGTTTTTCTAAGTTATGCCCTCAAACTTCATCGATTTCTAAGCTGTGCCCATGCTTTTTCAAACGTCTAATCTATGCCCTCAACCTAACTAATTTTTATTAACAATAACCTTTGACGTTAACAATAACCTTTTTTTATTTTATTTTATTTTCTGATTTTAAATTTTTTTAAAGCGTTAAACCAATTAGAACGGGACACGTGTCAAATTAATAACGTCACGACACCATTGTTGATAAATTAACTTAAATTTCGTTAAAGGAAATGGTTGTCAAAGGGTATTGTTGATAAAATATCGTGAGGTGGAGGACACAGCTTATAACTTTGAAAAAGCATGGGTAGAGCTTAGAAATTCAATAACTTGGGGGGCATAGCTTAGAAAAACCTTTTTTTGTTGTTTTTGAAATAAATGGTCATTTATCTATTATATTTACACTTATCGTAACAAAATACCAGCTTATTGTTAAAAAGGGTGCTTCCTTTTCACTTGCTTGTGTCGAAGGCATTGCTGTAAAGTGGGTTGATATTTGATTTCTAATTTCGTCTACTTGTGAACCGCTGTCACACATCTCGACCCTGAATTTGTGATAGTGTTCTCAATAGTGTTATCCATCATTATACTTTTTTGTAAAAAAAAATTTCATTTATTGCGCAACATTTACTGTGAATTTCCTAATGGCACGAACATATCAGGTACACTGCCTTTGGACCCATCATCCATGGATACTGTTATTGGTGTCTCCAAAGAACATGACTTTCCTACTGCTTCACTGCTTGCTGAAATATATAGAGTTCTGAAGGCAGATGGAAATGTTATCATTCATCTGACTGGACTTGCTGTTGATTTACCTTCTGACAATGTAATATATTATGAAATTGCTTGGTTGATGTAAATATTGATGGTTTGTGGCTTTGCATGTGTCCACCTATCCATTAATACTTGATAATTTTTTTTTGGTGATCTGCAGATTCTTTCTTCTCTGAATCGGAAGATACTTGTAGCAGGATTTTTGGAACCCGAAGCTAGCCTGCAGCAGCCAGACACTTTTTCGGGAGTTCAATCTATTCAAGTTAGTGAACTACCTTTAGTGCTGATTCTCATATTTCCTGCATAAATATTATATGCATTCTGATAGTTTTATATTAGAGTTCTACATTATATCTTTCCAAATTATGGTAAAAGTACCTTTTGTGCTGATTCTCATATTTCCTGAATAATTTTTCTATGCATTCTGATCGATCTATATTAGAGTTCTACATGTGATCTTTCTGAATCATGGCTGAAAAAAGTGACTGAAAGTCCTTGGAGAACGAGGTGATAAATAACCTGTCTGGAGTGGTGTTGATAATACGTGAGGTTAGATGTAAGTTTTTTTAGAGGGAAATTTTTTTTTTTAAAAAAAATCTATATTTACCAGTCATTGTACATGGCTGCTTATGGGGAGCTTCATGTACTTTTTGAGATCAATGTGTAGGAACTCCTTCAAGGATAGAGCTAGGAATGTAGATGTTTGGAAGGAAAGCCGGAGGATGCGATAAAAGAGAGTCGACAATGTTTGTTTGTGTGTGAGACGTCACTAGTAAGGAAGGTATGTAGTTGGATTCTGGAGATTTCAAAAGACGTTTAGGGTGGCTCAAGATGACTTGGATGGAGGGAGTTAAAGTTAGCACAAAGAAAGTGGGTTTGCAAAAGCAAGTAGTAATGGAAGAAGTGAATGGAGGATCTACGTGATGACCAAAGGAAATAGATTCTTGGTTCATGTAGCCAACCGGCACAGCCCCATCCTCTTGGCAACAAGACTTTAGTTTTGTTTGTTTGTACATGCAAAATAATATTTATGCCAGTGCCCTAGACCGTCAAGTCCTTGTTAATTTGTCATTTTGTAGATCTTCTTTCTCAAAAACTTTTTGTGCGAATGGCCAGAAGAAACAATTTGAAGTAGCTTTGTGAAAGTTTCTTTTCTTCCACTTGCATCATTTATTTTTAGGCTCTACTAAACTGTTCTCACTTATTCATAAATGTTTGCCTATATACTACTTCAACCAGAACATGAGCCTATTTTAGTGTTGGAAATAAGTTTGCTGAATATTCTTCGTGACTTGAAGATATTGCTTGAGAGAAACGCTGTTCTAGGATTCCTAATGACTGCCATAGTTGCTTATTTTTGCCATATCCCTTTTTATTGGGCCCTTTGGGGAAAGGAAGGGTTCTCTTGCTAGGCTATGGAAGCAATGATGACATTCAGCGGATGTGGTATCATTAAATACACATCTTTAAATTAGGTTGCATAATAAGTAGATGGCTCCATAACTTCTAGCTAGGGTTTAAATAAAATTATACAACCTCCCAATTTGCGTTTAAGTGTACCAGACTCGACCTGCTTTTTTCTCTCTAATATTTCCCTTACATTAATAAGCATGCCAAAAGCAATGGGATAAGTAATTTGGGATGGATGGAGTTTTTTTTTTTTTTTTTTTTTTTTTTTTTTTTTTTTTTTTTTTGTATTACGACCCTGTGAGCTGGATTCTTTATTCCAAAGGTCCTTTGTTTATTAAACTAATGAGACCACCTTATGGAAAACAAGGTTAATTTGTCTCGTGAAAGTCTTTACATGTTTACGATTGTGAAGAAAGGAAGTCATTTGATCCATGTAAATACTAGAAAAACTAGATCAATACAAATGATATGAATGTGTAGAATTAAAAATTAAGAGCTGAACATGTTACATTTGCTTTCTTGATTATGAAAACTTCTTTTAATTGGAAACATGAGTTCAACTATTCTAGAACCTATCCTTTACGCCAATATTCTGTGCCTGTTCACTTCTTTGTCTCTCCCTCTCTCTCTCTCTCATGATTTTTGATGTTGCAGTGGGTGTAAATTTCACTGATGTTGGGTGTTAGACTTTTTAGTTATGGAAATTTTGGTGTCATTGTTCTCTTCCTTACAGAGGCAAGAATAACTAGGTTTGTTATAGATTGAAACGAATTACAGAATTTCATCCTGGAAACAAATTGATAAATGGATTTATGCATCTTTTATTGAATTCATCTGATGAATATATTTTCTATCATAGGTTAAAGCGAGGAAGCCGTCTTGGAACATTGGATCTTCTTTTTCCCTCAAAGCCTCAAAAGGTTTACCAAAGGTTCAAATCAATGATGATATGGATTTGATTGATGAGGATTCTTTATTAACCAAGGATGATCTGAAGAAACCACAACTGCCTCCTGGTAACTGCTTGATATAATTATATACCCCCCCCCCCTCTTCAAATTTCTAGTATTGCATAATGATTCACTTTGTCACTACAGTTGGGGACTGTGAAGTTGGAAGCACTAGGAAAGCTTGCAAGAACTGTACATGTGGAAGGGCTGAGGAGGAGCAGAAGGTTGAAAATTTGGGGTTGACAATGGATCAACTGGATAATCCTCAATCTGCATGTGGCAGCGTATGTGTTTTATCAATTCAATTTTTGATATTTCAATGCAGAATATTTTTTTATTTTGGAAGATGGCTGCAAATTCATTTTGTGTTTAGATCTAACTGATGTTGAATAACTTATATTGCTTGTTTGCTTATTATTTGTTGTCGATGTGATTGAAATTATTGTTGGGCTTCCTAAAATTACAGTGTGGACTAGGAGATGCTTTTAGGTGCAGCACATGCCCATACAAAGGTCTTCCTGCATTTAAACTTGGGGAAAAGGTACATCTCTTAGCTCCCAACTTACTATATTATCTACTCAGTATATACTTGTATATTGTTATTTACTTCTTTTATTATCCCTGTGTTTCTAGTTTCCTGCCTATTTATCAATATAAACAGGAGCTTTTCACATTTCTAGATATATAGTGTCAAGATGATTGGTTGCATGTATTTGGGAATAAATTAAGTATACTTATAATCAGTTTGTTTGGTTAGACAGAAGTGGATGGGAAAGAAAAGGAAGGCAAACGAAATGTAGAACATTACACTAGGATTTAATATTATAATGGAATAGATGGGGAAGGAAAAGATGCAATAATAAAGACCTACTATTAAGCTCTTTATTTTATTCATCCCAAATTGGTGATTTTGGTTGGAAGAAAAGTTGATATCACGAAGTCCTTATCCAAACAAATGAATCAATCCAATGCCTACCAAGTAACCCAAAGGAATATTAGTTTTTTTCTCCCCTATACCTTTCCATTTTCTACATTTCAATCAGTACTGAAATTTGAAAAAAAAAAAGGAAAAAAAAAGGAGTGTGTTATGATTATAGTGACTTTGTCTTTTGCTTATTATAAGTTTGGTGATAACAAATACTTGGTCTTGTAACTTTTAACACAAATCACACACTTCACTTTGACAATCTTTTATGATTTATACACGAGGAAAAGTTTAGTCATATGAGATCTTGTTAGATTTGAACTTTCGTTATTGGTAATTAAAGTTATTAATGGTTGAAGTTTTGTATTGGAAAACATGATAAAGGAAACTTGTCATTTAAATTAAAAACAAAGTATATTTTAAATAATCTATTATGAATAATGGATTATATAGTTGTATCACTTGTATGGTTCTTGTGTATGGTGCATCAGCATGAATTCATGATGCATATGCTCCTGTGAAGTGGGAAATCAAATTTGAGCAGATGGTTGGAGGACTGTATCAAGGCCAGTGAGAGATAAGGGGAAGCAACTTCAGTCTGTCTCTGTGAATCAAGCTAACTCTTACATGGCTCTTATTGAGTAGGACACTGAAGAGGAAGAGGAGGGGGAGGATGAGGTTGGTGTTACTCATAATCCCACATGAATATCCTTTCACATTAGGGACCCCAATAAAGTGGCAGAAGTGAAGAGGTTGTGTAAGCAGCAAACTATTAGTATAGTAAGAAAAAAGTTTTATGAAACTTCATTGTTTGATAATGTATTCTTCTAATGAGTAGTGTAATTGTTCTGGATCCTTCGATGTTCCAGGTTTCTTTGTCGAATAATTTCCTTGATGCAGATATATAGACATCAGCAGGATTCAGTTCAGTTGTATTTTGGTCGGCTACATGCATGTTTTTAGTGTCAGAATATCGTAGATCCCTCACTGTTTAGAATGTAAGTAGCTTTCTGAAATTTTGATTCTTCTGGATATTGACTGTGTTGTTTAATTTGCAAACTTGTTGATCTGAAAAGAAATGCCTGCATGGTCTGATGAGAGGTTATTTTCTGTTTTGATATCAAGTCATCCGCCTTCATTCACCTTGTGGTGTTTACGCGAATCCTTTGTAAATCATTGTTTATGGTGAATTGGTGATCATCAAGTAATGGAGAATGGTGATACTTGTAATGATAACTAGATAGCATGAGTGTCAATTAACACAATTCAATTATACAATTTTGTCATGTCCTTTATAGAATTGGCCCATAGAATACTCAGATTTTTGTGCAAATACCTACTGTCCAAGATCCTTAATTTAAAGAGTTTGGATAACTTCTCCCTTTATAATGTCAGGATTTGCTATTCATTTTCAACACATATTGTACAAATTTTGACAATCCCTAAAGTTATCTATTTTGATAACTTCAATTTTTGTGGGGCAGATATTTATCCTACCCTACTTAAATATCTAAAATTGAGTTTAAACCATGTAAAAAAGTTACAATTCATTTGAATATGGGCCACAAGGCCCACAACTAAGGATAATGCTAAATTTCAACTTTAGTATATATTGTAAACGGTTGGTATTGCTAAATGCCAATGTTAATTATTTTATGGTTGTCTTACACTCTTACATGAATAGTTGATAAGTTCATCACATTATTACAAAATTTAAGTGGTCTAGACAAACTACTCAAACAAGAATGTGGAGATGCGAACAATATCGAGTTTCGAGTTTCAGTGAACAACCTCAGACCAACGCTGACGCTAGTAGTTAGTTTGTTTGGGATAGCGAGATCGAGACCGCTAGTACTGTCCTACTATATTGATACTCGTAATACTTATACAAAATGCGGAGTACTGTGTTAGGAAATGCCCCGAATCCTTGTTTGAACGACCATTATAGGAGTCTAGTTAATCGGTTGTTGAGTTGAGTTGATGAGGTCTAGGGGTGAAGCGCACTATTTAGAGGTTTGAGGATTTATGAGTTACGATATATGTGTTATGATTTTCTGTTTATGCACTTATTACATTGTTTTAAGAGAACTATCTCCTTACAATGTAACCTAGCTATAATTCGCCAGACTATACAATCTTCAAGATAAACGAAACTCTCATCGTAAATTCGTAAGTGAACCATTGCACATAAAATCCCTGCTCATGCTACCATGCTTATTGATTTCGTCAATCCTTCTTGCATCTTTTACAAATTACAACACACTCCCTATGCTCCCATTTAGTGTGCTCATTTCTATTTTTGTGTTTGTCATGATTTATTACCTCTTTCTCTTCTTGGCATAAGCTCTTTACCTTTATAAAATATTTTTTTAAAAAAAATAAAATAACTTGAAGTTTATTATTTGAGGAAATTAGTCAGGAGTGAAGGAGATTTATAAATGCTCAGAGGAAGATGAGGGAGAGGATTTAAAGTACATTTGCTCCACCCCATCAAAGGGGGACAAGTGAGCAGCAAGATGTTCAGCTACATTCTCGGCTACACTTACTTTGACAGATGAGGTATATTATTAACATCAACTAATCAAGTCATTAGGGGATCTGCCACTCATAAGAATTAATTGCCCTCATCACATTTCTTGCATCTGTTTCCACCACAACCTTCATTAACCCAAGTCTCAGGGCAATGATCACCCCCGAAACCAGCAGCAACCTCCATTGCTGACACCTAACTACTCACTTTAAGCATCGCGACATCTACATTAACATCAAACTCACCTCTGCCGGGGATGCCAACAACTATGCAAAGGAAGCAATGCTGTTCTAGCACTAGCAAAACAGTTTACAGCATAGGTAATAGGTAGTATGCTGCATTTTTTAGCACCCAACAAGTCCAAGCCGTGGTGGCTTTGCAGCGGCTCCTCTCCTTAGTTATTACTTTGGTACTAGTATGTAGATGACAAATCACACCTAGATATATGATGTACTACTATGTTTGGTTGATGAGAGTGAGGGATAGCTCAAGTGGTTAGAGCTTCTCTCCTGATTCTAGGAAATCGTGGGATCGATTCTCACCCCGCCTTTGTGGCTCTCTAAACACCAAAAAATATGTTTAGTTGATGTCTAATGAGATCACATTAGGTTTTTCCGGTTAGACATGAATAAAGATATTTCACATAATATATGCACCTGTGAATGCATTTTGTTATCTATGTACTATAGCTTTATAACATAATACTTGTATATTATTAATTTTTTTGAAATTCTTAACATTTCTTATATTTGTCACTTCAAAATAACATATCAACATTGAAAAAAAATCTACAAACACAAAAATACAGAGTAATAAATAAAGGTATAGACAAACATCATTCACTTAGATTGGTTGTTGAAAAGTTCTTTCATGTCACAATCACCATTAACAAGTGAAGATCATGAGCTTTTAGAGCATATGAAACCTTTCTACAAGTGAGAATTTCTATTCTTTCCTCCTTGTCGGTAAGCTGTTTCAAATTCTTCTTTTTATACAATTTTCAATCCATATTTGGAGAGAATTTTACTGTCTTATTGAAGAAGTGCAAATTTTGTGAACAGACCTATTAGAAATTCAAGAAATTTTTTACACAAATAACTTGGAAGTTCATGTTGCCAAAGGCAAATTGTCTGGTTTGATTTTGCTCATTTTACCAAAATTAGGTAGGGGTTGTTTTTTTATTTTTATTTTACCTAATGTTCTTTATATGTACTGTACTAAGTATTGAAAACATGCACACAATAATGAATTCATGAGTGCTCTTTAATACGCTATTTATTGTGCACGTATGCTTGAATCCATTTACTCTAGTACATGAACATCAGAACATGTTACTAAGTACAAAGTGTTATTTGTTCTTGTGGTTAATTTTCATGACTTTAAGGTTATGGAATCGAATCTCATCATAGAAATTTAGAGGTGATTTTTTATCCTTCTTTTGTGCCTTATTTTGTGCTTTCAAGGGTTTTAGCCTATTGAGCGTGAGACTGAAAGGATTAAAGGAATCTAAAGACTAGAGAAATGGAACCATATATATTTTTTAAATTGGCATTTCAAATCAAAGAAAATCCCTCTCTAATCAACTTACTTTCAATGAACTTAAAATTTAGTAGGATGGTTTTAAAGATACAGTTATTTTAGAACACGTTATTAATTACTAGGCACAATGTTAGATAGGAGTAATAGTTTTAGCATATGAATTACAAAGTCCTATAGAACATGATATAAACGAAATTCCATCCAATTCTCTGACTGTCGAACACGTTATTGGTGTATACAATTTTTTATTATTTTTTTAAGGTAAGATGAAATATCATACTAAACCGATACCTCTCTCGGGTTTAGTCAGCCCAACTTCGCTAGTTAACGCTTGAAAGTAGAGGGAGAAAGTAAGAAAATTCTCCTACTCCCAAGCATTTTTATAGTTGATGAGGCTCAAACTTGTGATATCAAAAGGTAAGTTCCCCACCAACTCAAAGCTTGGTATCGGTGTATGCAATTGGGTTACCCTTTTCCACACTCACAAGCTAGAACATAAAACTTCTAAAGTGACCACAAAAATCAACGAAAGTTCCGTGTTGAAAAGAAGAGAGTTAGGAATCTAGTACGGGGTCCATTCCCCCACAATATTGTTTGGCAAATCACACAACATACACCATCAAACCGATTCCTCTATTTTTTTGATTTGATTGATTATCTACAATAGGTGTGATTGGACCCCACCTTATTCAAATCAAAACAGCTCAACAATCTTTTTTTTTTTTTTTTATTAATTGAAATTTTAAAAAATGACAGACAAACTATTAACAACTTCTTCTTAGAAATTTCATCAATCCACAATATACTCCTTCCAAAAATCATTAGGTACACCCATTTCCCATGTGATATGGCCTTATTTGTAATTTTACAACCAAACATTTTCATAGTTGCAAATTAATTTTGCAACCACAAAGCCACCAAATTCCAGCCATCTCAATCATAATATGTACAATTATAATATTTCAATATGATAGAAATAATATAATACAAAGTATAATATAATCCTTAATTTTCATAGTAATGTTTAGTTAATGACATAGTTGGTGGATTCCTTTCACTAATCTCCTTTTGTTTACGAAATTAGTATACAATGACAAAAGACCATATGCTTATTCTTGCCAACTCACTAATCCACTTCTTTAGCTGGGATACAAAATCTTCCCCCATAAAAACGACATCCCATGAAAGAGAAAAATTTTAAATTAAAGATTCGACAATTGTTTCCACTACAATTTAGTAGTAGTAAAATACTGTACATGTCGTGTAACTTTTTATTAACGATAGGTAAAATCTTGAATAATATGACAACTACCAACCCTTTTGAAATGGAGATATTGAAAATCGTACAATAATTGTATTTTGGCAATTGCCGCCCCTTAGAGTTAAGGAATCGTTCCTTAGATTGAATTCGATGTTAGGAAGTCATATATCGTGTACGGAGTAATTTATTGAAACAATGTTGACGATTTCTTGGTCTATTCCTCTAGAATTGGCTTGAATTGTGGAAGAAATTTGAGTATCTTTTATAAAATCAAATTCTCCTAATCTAATGTCTAATTATACAACTAGAGTATCTATTAAGAAATAAGTGATACTGAAAATTCAGATTACTTATTTTTGGACAAAAGTCACTTCCTAGGACTATAAGAACAAAATCTACCTTGTAACCAAAAATCCAGGAATTTGGGAACTAATCAAAAAATGGCAACAATGTAGCAGTAATTCCCTCTAATTCTGCCCAAAAATATTCTTAATTTCTTACTCATGTTACTAATTACACACTTTAACACAAAATTAAATCTCGTCTACAACACTGTCCGCAAGTGAGCTCTAAAACCACTTAAAATTTTATGAACATGAACTTTTATGAAATTCCTATGGTGCATACTTTACATAAGAGAATCCCCCCCTCCTATTTTTTAATCAAAAGATGAAAGAATTTCATTCTATTTACACAATACTTTACATTTCTTAAATCTCTAACTTTATATTTCTCCTATTCTTTTCTTCCTCTAACTTTAAACAAAGGCTAAGAAAAGTAACTACATGAACAATTCAAATTTTCAAAAGCTAAAGCCACCAATTAAAGATGCAATACAACTATACAAGTATACAACTACCTTTAGTTCATACCCACAAGTCAATGCCAACTTTTACCAAATAACAATAATAATTGAAGCCTAAATTTCATTCAAAAACACACCAAAATTAATTCCAACCACACCACCTACCTCAAATCAACAACCCAAGGGGTAAAATTGGAACCAAAAAAAAATAGCAAACCAAATTCAATTTGACGACTTATACTTCAAAGTTCATACATAACAAATTATCATTATTATGAAGTAAATCTCATCTCATCTCATAAAAAGAATAACTAAATATTTATTACCAATATAATACAAAACCCAAAAAAAAGTGTATCACAATGAAATTAACATTAACAACAAACCCATCTTTAAATTCCTCTTACCTTGATTCTTTTTATCCATGTATACCAAACAAACCCCAAATCATAGAATTAATATAAAAATAAAAAATAATAAAAATTACAACATTTTTTTCCTTTTTTGTTTTAGAAAATTAAGAAATGGGCTAATAATAATCATCATCATAATAACAAAATAAAAATAAAAAAAAATAAAAAAAAATTCTTAGCGTCTTGCACAACGAGTAATAGCACTGCAACCACGAGAGTAAGGATTAGCTTGAGCACCTGGACGACAATTATAGTACGAAGCACCACGTCTTGAACAAGGAACTCTGTTCTTATTCAGCGCATTATAACTAATATAGTTATTTGTTGCTAAAATACGCCTGTAAATTTCTGAATCCATTTCATCTTCTTCATTCATCCCCAAACATTCATCAACTGTTCCTTTACACCCAGATCCACCACTTCCGAACAACCCCATTACCGTTGGATCAAGATCAACCCCTGCATCTACGGTTGAGATTAGAGCTAGGAATAATCCAACGGCTATTATTGCTACTAGCTTTCTATTGTCGGCCATTTTTGTTGGTGAGATTGTTTGTTTTTCTCACTTCTGGAAAAATAGGTTGAATTTTTTTGGGATTGAGTTTGTCTCTCTCTCTAAAAAGAGGGGTTTTTTGGGGTTTGTTTCTCTCACTAGAATAAGGGATTGTTTGGACAGCTGTGAAATGGGAACGGCTAGTTTGAGACTTTGAGGGTGGAAGTAGAGTATTATAAGTAGCGGTTTTGTTGGGAAATTGGGCTTGGTTTTTGGATTATTTACGAATATTGCCATTTTTAAGAGGTTTTTATTTTGATTAAAAAAAATTAAAAGAAAATTGCGTGAGAGGTGGTTAAGTGAGACGTTTGACATTGGACTGAGGACATGTCAATGATTTAATTTTGATGTGTGATTTTTTTATTTTTTATTTTTTTAAAAAAAGAGGAGATTTTAACATGTGCTAGGATTGGTGTAGTGTGACATTATTAAGGTAAATAATTAAGAAAATTAATTGACTTTGTTAATTTATTAAATTTAGATCTTATGATATTATAATTAAATTAAATTACAATTGGGGAATTATATTGTTTCAACAACATTTTTTATAACATCAAATGTAGCATAATTTTGAATATTGACTTGTGAGTAAAATATTACAAGATTCAATTGACTTTTATTATACGGAAATGATATAATTGTACATGCAATAATTAGGGATATTTATTGGTCTAAAACCGAACTGGACTAAAGATCGAAAATTAGAATTTCAAGAACTGAAGAGTGGTCCGATTAAGCTGGGACTGAATCCGGATTGGACCGAAAGAATTGATCTAAACCCCGAACCAGACCGATTTAAGAAATGTTTAATTAGTTTGTGGAAAACTTCAAAAAAGCAAAGGAAACCATTATTTAAGGTTCACGCATAATTTTAAGAAAAAATCAGTCTACTTCAAGACCCTTTTTTATAGGGTTTTGAACCAGAACGAAAAATTAAGCTTTTAGACCTGAAGACCAAATCGGTTCATTTTTTAGGTCCGGACAGTTTTATGAACTCCTCTAGCAACAATGCAAGATTACATTTAAGGGTGTGATATGTTCACCTTAAATTTTTTTTAAGACTAATTAGATTTAAATTCGAGATGATAAAGTCAAAATCAAGTATGCACTTATAAGAAAATCAAGATAGTCATGTAATAATGATTTAAACTTAATAAACCTTAATAAAACTTTATTAGTGGTAATTTGAACTTGGATTTTCCTTATAAAAACTTATCTTATCTAAAATTAAAGTGAAAATATTTAACCAAGGATTAATATTAAAATATGTTAATAAAAGGGTCTGTTTTTTTCGGCTTAATTTCAGTTCAGTTTAGCTCTAATCAGTTCAGCTCTAATTCTAATTTCTCTCTCTCATAAAATATTCAGTTCATTTCAGCTCCAAGCAGTTCAGTTCAATTTAGTAAATCGAAACAGGCCCTAACTTATGATTTTGTCATACACTTTCAAATTAATACAGGAAAATATCGATTGCTCGTGTGCAACCTATATACATTACCATTCTATTTTACCAAAATTAGGTCTAAGGGCCCGTTCTCTTACGTTGAAATTCAGGTTCAGTTCAATTCAGCTCAATTCAGTTCAGTTCAGTTCAGCACCTAATTTCCTTCTCTTATAAAATATTCAGTTCAGTTCAATTCAGCACCTAATTTCCTTCTCTTATAAAATATTCATTTAAGTTCTGTTCAATCCAGTTCAGCATCTAATTTCCTTCTCTTATAAAATATTTATTTCAGTTCAGTTCAGCACCTAATTTCCTTCTCTTATAAAATATTCATTTCAGTTCTGTTCAGCACCTAATTTCCTTCTCTTATAAAATATTCATTTCAGTTCAGTTCAGTTTAGTTCAGTTCAGTTCAGTTCAGTTCAGTTGAGTTCAGTCAATGAGAACATGCCCTAAAGTTATTATTTTTTCATTAAAAAAAACCCGGATAGATTAGCTATGACAAAGAATCATCAAAAAGAGTCAAATCAAGTCAGCTTTGAGTCATGTTAAATTATCGAGCACATGAAATTAAGTTTTGAATCAAGTTACTTTTTTTTTTGGTGTTCTTCCCGCTTCATCCTTTGGGCTAATCCGAATCCGGATATCAATTCTGAGTGATTAGGTTCTAGTTTCCTCCCGATTATTTTGTGGGGGATCGAACACGGATTCTCTCCATCAAGTTTAGTTCCAATATCACTACATCAACGGTCAATTGATTTAATTAAGTTAAATCTAGATGAATCAGATTAATCTTTAACAGCTGCATTATTTAAATTGGCAATAATAGTAAAGTTTTGTAATTATTCAGGTTAGGACTTTAGGAGGGAGAGGCGGCGTCGAGGATAATTTCAGACCTTTTAGCAAAGGGGCGAGCATATTCTTGAGAAGCAGTTATAATTTTGGTATATTTAAAAAAACAAAAATTGATAATAGAGTATTAGTTGGAGATTATTAATTTAATAAAAAGAACTCCAAACTTTGGAAAATTAGTCCAACTGAAAATGACGTTCCTACTGCCTTTAAAAAATTGGGAAATTTAAAATGATGTACTGTCACAACTCACAAAGTTATGAATTTGCATTTCGAAAATAAGATATGTGAAGCGGTCTCATTAATTGAGAAATGGTAATTTGGTTTTGAAGAGTTCAGATCAGATATGAACTACTACTGTACTACATGTGTGTCACGCAATCCGTGAAGGTTGACGAGGCAATAATGCCAATAAGTATTTATCGTAATCGAATTGTCAATTTTATATTCCGTATATTTTGAAATATACTTCATTACGTTGTAATAGACTTGATAAAATTGATCTGATAAAAACTTGTGATTTTAAACTTGTTACGTATAAAAATTGAAATAGTCTTTAAATGTTATATTGGGTATGTAGAACGGGATTGAATGCAATTGTTCATTTGAATTTAAATTGATTACTCATAATTCAAATATGGCCCTAAAAACCTAAATCAAATAAATACAAAAGTCACACTTGCTAGAGGATTCACCAAAGGAGATTGTGTAAGTCTCATTTTGATCAATACATGCTTAATTTCATACGTTAAGGAGTTTAATTTAGAGTTTAGTCATCTTAATAGGGCGATCAACCTTGAATTTATTCTAACAAATTTGACTCCTAAGCTATATCACTTCTTCGAAAGCAATAACTGTAGAAATAACATATTGTACGTGTACATTTATGCAGTTTTTCTAATGCTGACAATGACGGAGAGTTATGGTATGTAATAAATAAATAAATAATCCGGAGAAACTATATGCTTGTGTACAATTTCTTTTTTTACCTACTTTCAATTTTATTCAAGGAATTTGAAGCCATATTTATTAAAGAAATGTATATTTACATAATTACATGCCTAATCCTAATTTTTGATACATGAAAAGTCAAAAGATGTAATTATTTAAAAGAAAATGTTACTAATCTAATGAGTTGGCATCTACAATAAACAAGAATTAGGAGAACAAAGTATTAGTCAATCACATGTTGATGATGTGAGAAAGACCTTTATTATAAACAAGTAGTACAACATTATAAAACACCAAGGAGATTACAAAGAAAATACCAATTCTCTACAAATAATACCACAACAATAGTTGTCTAACGCGTATAAGTTTACAAAATGCCAATTCTACCCACCAACAACCAATCCACCAAAAACTTAATCTAGTCATTCCCTATTTTAACCAAAAAAAAAGTCAAAACAACAACTTCATCCATTTAATAATGCACATAATCCATCAAGTATTCTAGATGACATAATTATTAAAACATAAACCTTTGGTTAAGGAATATTGACACATAAATCATAACCACGAAGAAAAATGGTAAAAAATTTAAAAGAGAGGTTAGTAAAAGTAAAAGATTTATTTGGTAGATAGAGCCACAAAGAATAAACGTTGCAGCCGATATATATATAACCTCATGTATTTAGGATCATCCCAAATTAAGCTAATTGACATATACAATATAAGATAATAGACTAATAGCAATAATCAGAGTTCAGAATATTATAACATATAAATATGAAGTAAATAAACTAGCGTATATGTTACCACCTTTCAAAATATTAATTGTCGCGTTAGCAGTGTCATCTGAATCTTTAACGTGACAACTAAATACGGACAGACCGATGGACCCGTAATTAAAGTTTTCAACCCCTTCTACAACGGGAGATATTACTACACCCACGTTTGTAGGGATTAGCTTGTGCACCTGGCTTGCAATTGTAGTAAGAAGCACCACGTCGAGAACACGGCGTTTTATTCTTGTTCATTGCACCGTAGCTAATGTACTTTGATTTAGCCTTTAATATACGCCGATTAGTCTCCGAGTCCACCATGAACTCCGACTCGTCGAACTCGTCCCCCACCGTGCACTCCGCCATCGAACCGGTGCATTCGAGTTGACTCGGCGATTTAGGATCTACATCAATGGTCAGGATTCCTACAACAAAGAAACTAAGGGCTAAGATTAAAATGAGACATTTTGGACCGCCCATAACATAAAACCAATTTTTTGAAGTTATTATTATGATTTGTGTTGAAAATGTTTTTAAGAGGAAAAATTGTATTGGTGGGTTAGAGATATATAGTTGCAAATTAAATAAATGATTGATTGCAAAATATATAATCCGTTAATATCATATGGCTTGCATGTCTTCATGTAATGCTTGAGCACTAAGTTGCAGGCCGGCCTTGCTACAAATAACATTTTATACTCCATTAATCATGTGAAAATTGATGAGTTGCTATATATAATTTCGTAAAATATTATTTGTGTATTATTCTTAGTCTTTATTACTAATTACTATGGACTAGACTTGTCAATTTGGGTCAACGGGTCGGATTTGGGTTAAATTTCGGATTGTTTGGGTCATTTGGTTTAAGTGGTATGAATTGTTTGGATCATTACAAATTATGATAAATGGATCATATCGGGTTGATCTATTTCGGGCCATTTGAATCGGGTCGGGTTCGGATTTGGGTTCTCTCTCAGTAATATGGGTTTGAAACCGGGTCGGAAATTGCCAAGTCTACTACGGAGTATAAAGTACGAAGTATAAATTAGACTTATAGAGTACGTAATATAGTTACCCGTATTATTTTCAGAATTGAAGTTTTAGTATATTCTCTTCCTAGCTAGGTGATGTTTTGACAAGTTTACATAGTCAATTTGACTTAGTGGTAAGGCATGAAACCTTCATGTAATGCTTATTAGGAGTTTACTTTTCAACATCAAATAATAGTTTATTGCATATAATTGTAATTAGCAATTACGTTTTGTTAGTCCTTGATAATTATGATAAACTAGTAGGAGTAAACAAATTAGATTAGCAACCGAAAGAAAAGTTGTTTAAAAAAGGACACTATGAAAATGAAATGTTAAATTAAGAAACACTACTTTGATTATCATATTTTATTGCCGCACTTAACTTGTAATGTACATCTTTAATGTTCTTTTACTTCATATTTAATCTTTAATAATGATTTTGCTAAGCTAGGGACAACATCAATAACTTTGCGTATCATGAACCATTCCCAATATCCTAAACTCATCAATATATGCTATAATTTTAACTAACAACATTATAACCCTTATTGAATATGTATGGTGTTCTTTGTCTATCGATTTTCATTATTGTTCTTACAATTGTAATTACAAGTGCATGTACGCATGCATTGTACATAATTAGAATCGAGTTTATAATACGAGTTTATAATAATACTGCACAATGTATGTAAGTTAAATGGGAAGAATATATATTCCCTTCATTTTATTTTGTTATATTACCTCCGTTAAGTATTATTTGCAACAAAGGGGTATTATTTGTGAGATATAAAATATTCCTTTTGCAAATAATAGTTAACAGAGATAGCACTTTAGTTTTTTTTATCATACGGAAAAAAATTCTAATTACGAACAACAAGGGTATTAACGAAAAATTGCAAAAAGTAGACGAGGATAGTCCAATTTTACAAACTGGTGACTGCCGTAGTTTCACAATCAATGCCGTATTTGTACGCCGCGTCGATGATCTAGTCAACCTTATAAAGCACCGCGGAAATTATAGATGGAGATATTCCTTGTAATTGTGTGACACGAGGAGGTTTGTATAGTGCTAGGACTTAATCCACCAATAACTATATTAATTAAACTGAAAATAACTTTTTAAATTCAAATATTTAAAAGAGAACAAAAAAAAAAAAAAAAAAAAAAAAAAAAAAAGGTAGAACTTCTATACCTCAAGAATAATGTTTCAATACAATTAACTTACACAAGTGAAATACGATAGAATTATGAGGAATTAGTCCGATAATTAGTCGACCATTTAATCACATATTTGTCCATTCTTGCGTCAATTTTCTTTTATTACATATGTTGTGCATTTGGACTTTGGTTATTTTGTTTTTGGAGTGATTTTATGTGAAATAAAAATGCATGTTAATTATCAAATACATACATACTTGCTTTGTCAATAAATAACTATATAGAGTATATTTTGGTATTCATTCTTAGGCCAAATACTCATAAATAAATCTTCAATCATCCCGCACCACATTTTTCTCTCACACCATAGCTCCGTTTTATCTTGAGATTAATAAGGTGTGAGCACTCTAACCAACTTACGAAGTTACAATTATCTTTTAGTCACTTTAAGTCTTGTATTTTAAGTTATTTTCGAAACACCTAACTCATATTAAAATCTTAATTAAATACATATACCTAAGAAACTTATTTGTTGACAATAAAGGAAGTATAACGTAAGCCGATTTAATTAAATATTAAGTTCTTATGGGAAGAACAAGGTTAAGCATGATAATTAAAGAACCCTTTCACGATCTACCCACCATAGATTAAAACAAGAAGAAATAAGGATTAAGGTGAACGAGAGAACGATTAGTCAATTACATACCAACCCTAATTTTCTATGTAAGGTGAATGCTATAAGAAGATTATATTATAGGGTAATTGGCCTAAAGCATTCATGAAAGCTTAGACAACCCTTTAAGATCTTTTTAAAATTATACTCCATATATGACTAAATATTAAATTGAAATTGCCTAGTCAATCACTCTAATATATATAGTAAATAATAAACCTATTTGGTAAAAAACTCAAATCACTAACACTACATGTTGTGTAAAACTTCTTATAATTTAATACAAATATAGTTTTACGAGTACATTTTAATGTGAACCTCTTTTATTCTCTCTCAATTATTCTTCATCCTTCTCAAATAAAAGTATATATGATATTAATATATATGGAGTAATATTTTTCCGATTTCAGTCCGTCTTAGTTTGTGTGTGGCTAGTCGTGTGACCACTTACAAAAGAACAAAGTAATCCATATAAAACTGATCAAGTAACCCTTGTAATACTAACTAAGTAACCCCTATAACACTGACCAAATAACCCTTATTACACTAACAAAGTAACCCCTGCCACACGGTGCGCCCAGTCACATATAAGACTTTGTGTTCCGACTTTATTTTTAATACACAACCTGATCACCATACCAGCAAAGCTAGGCTAGTTTGGTAGATAAACTAACCAAGAACATCAACTCGGCAATTTATGTAATAATAGTAGTAGTTACAATTCTATTATGAATGTGTAGTTTGTCTGTTATACCTTCTTTGATTTGTTCTTTCTAGCTAATTTACTAGCTATAAACTTTAATTAAAAATAACATACATACCTCAACGAACGGCTCAAGTGCTCAACTGCAAGTCTACAGTACAGCAATTTTTGGTGGTTTGTTTTTAGTGCCAATAGATGCATATAAAATCCAACATTATCAAATCATATGATAATGTTTCCAATTATTGTAACAGATATTATTAGGGTGCCTATAACAATATTATTGGTTAAAGGCACTAGTAATATGAAATTTCATACGAGTACATGATTAACTGTAATAAAATAAAGTATTTGCATATAAGTGTAATAAATTAAAGTATTTGCTGTACGGGATAATACCGACAGTAGTTTAAATAGGCCGAAAGTTAAATCTTGCCCGTGCCTATTTAGTTGAACTCAAACATCCTTAACGGCTCTCCCCTCGGCCACGTGGAGAGCTGCTCCCGGCCACGTAGGCACCTGCTACATTTAAGGTCGGTTTGCCACCTAACGTCATAAGGTGGCACCAGCTTGGTTCTTCCCCTATATATACCTAGGCGCATTCTCACAACAAGGTACAATCTTTTGATCTAGCTCTCTCTCTTTCTCTCTAAACACCTTCTCTCTTTTCATTCTTGCTTCCCCAGGTTACTGACTTTAGCATCGGAGCGGTTATTCCCGAATAACCCCCCGGGCTAGTTAATCTGTGCTGACTGTGCAGGCAGTGAATTGGACGGTAAACCTTTATCAACCCCAGGATATCACGGTATCGGAGCTCATCTGGAACAATTGGCGCTAGAAGGAGGGGTAGTAAAAACTTCTATCGTCCAAAAAAAACCTCCAACAGTCATGGAAGGAGAAAACGAAACTGCACCAGTACCGAAAATAGGAAATCGGAACGATTATAACGGCGTCCTAAATACCAACACCAACAAAACGGTAAATCCCATACCTAAGATAACGGTGGAAGATGAGACCCACCTTCTCTATAAGGACACTACAGATATACCGCGAACACCGGAAAGAACTCGGGCACCAACCCCAGATCCTTTGGGAGAGTTTACCCCAGAAGAACTAGAGATAACGACCAAGGTTATGCGGGCAATGTCCCGAAAAAGAAAAGAAGTTGAGATGGCGGCTGCGAGGGAGCCTCGGAGTGGACCGACAACCCCTTTTGTCATCAACCTCGAGGGTCAGTTCGATCAAGCTGGACCGCAACCTAACACAAGGCTGCCACCTCAGGAGGCGGTGATACCATCAGAACGTCAAGTTACACGAACGACATTCGGAGGAGAATCAGAATCCTACCGGCATGAGGCTAGTAGTGGGCCGTCAAGGCATATGGCTCGAACTATAGTCCGGCCGAGGACATCTCCCTTCACGCAAGAGGTCCTTAATCAGCAAATGGAGAAGATAAAGATGTCGTCATGCACATACGACGGCAAAGGTGACCCAAAAAGGTATATACCGGCATTTGAAAGTCATATGTTGCTATACACCGACACCAATGCTGTGTGGTGTAAAGTCTTTCCCACAACGCTGGTTGGAGCGGCTTCGGATTGGTTCACTAATTTACAGCCCGGGTCTATCGGTTGTTTTGATGCACTAGTTAAATTATTTATGGGCCAATACATAAGCAACAGCGCCAGACAGAGAACCTCAGGAGAGCTTATGTCCGTCCGACAAAGAAAGGACGAATCATTGAGAGATTTCGTTCGGCGATTTAATAATGAAGCTAATACCATACCTAAATTGCAACAGGAGATAGCTCTTATGGCCTTAATGAATGGTTTGGCTGATAGTGATTTCAAGAAGTACATGGCCCGGAAGTCCTTTCTCAATCTCGGTGCGGCATTCAACAAAGCCCATGAGTACATTAAGAGTGAAGAAATGCTGAAAGCAAGCAACCAGATAACATCAGCAGAGCCGTCTCGACGACAAAACACATACATGTCGCCCAAAACTCCCGGTGGGGTCAACAGGCAAAATCAGCAAAAGGCAAATAGGCCCGCTAGAGGCCTTTGGCGATATAGTAATTATACCCAGTTGAACACGCCCAGGGCCGCAATTTATTCAATAAATCAGCACAAGGAAGACTGGAATCAACCGACGCCAATGATAAAGAAGGGCCGAGATGTAAAGAAGTACTGTATGTTTCATAGAGACGTTGGCCATTATACTGAAGAGTGTGTCCAATTGAAAGAAAATATTGAGGATCTTATCCAAAAGGGGCATCTGTCTCAGTACCGGTCTCAAGTAGGACTGAGCCGACATCCAGCACAACCGATAATACATACAGAGTATTGAAAGCAAACAGACCCGTCAACACAAGATGACACTTACCGACAGGGTAGTTCCGAGATTTATCGGCAAGGATCCGCCCCCGCCGGACGCAAACTTACCATTGAGGTGATTACCGGAGGGCCTGTGCATGGAGGATCTGTTAGCGGTGCAAAGAAAATTTTGTCGGAATATAAACACATAGTAAACGCGCTGGGTGTGGATGAGCGACCTCGGCCAACCAATATCCCTTCCGTATCCTTCTCTGAGGCTGATGCCAAAGGCATAGTATTCCCCCATGATGATCCATTAGTCTTGATATTATTAATAAATGGGTGTGATATCAAGCGCGCGCTGATAGACGGGGGTAGCTCGACGAATATTCTGTTCGCAAGAGTATTCGACGCCATGATGATAGGTCGGAAATACTTAACGCCTGTGGCATACCCTGTTATCGGTTTCAACGGCTCAACTGTCAGACCTGAAGGTAGCATAATCCCACAAGTTAGAATAGGAGAAGGAACCAGGGCAAGGGATATGATGACCGAGTTCTTGATTGTTGATGTTCCGTCAGCATACAATGCTATTGTCGGCAGACCATTAATACACGATGCGCAAGCCGTAGTCTCGACATACCACCTCACAATGGTATATGTTTCTAATGCCGGCAGGATGGAGCGCGTTCGAGGAAGTCAACGATGGCAAGGGAATGTTATGTGTCGGCATTGAAGCAGCCATGTCGACAAGTTCCGACAAGCCAGAATAAACACAAACGGAAACGGCCCACACTTACCACTGATTTAGCAATGGAAAACTTTGATACAAGGCCAATAGCAGTTCCTAGACCACTACCGGGAGGTGAAACCGTTGAAATTGAGCTCCAACCAAGAGTCGCAAATCGGACAGTAAAAATTGGGTCCGACATGGATACCGAGATGCGATGCCATCTACTCGAGCTTCTAAGGGAGAACGCCGATGTTTTTGCCTTCTCGGCCGATGAGATGCCGGGGATTCATCCTAACGTAATGGTGCACAAGCTGAATGTGGACAGGCGGGCTAGGCCTGTGCGAAGGAATTTCTCAACAGAAAAGATCGAAGCAATACAGGCAGAGGTAAATAAGTTATTAGCGGACGGTTTCATAGAGCCATGCACATACCCAGAATGGTTGGCCAATGTTGTCATGGTTAAAAAGTCGTCAGGGAAGTGGAGAATGTGTGTGGATTTTACGGACTTAAACAAGGCTTGCCCAAAAGACTGTTATCCTTTACCAAGAATAGATCGCCTGGTTGACTCTACATCTGGCCATGCGCTTTTGAGTTTTATGGATGCCTTTTCTGGATACCATCAAGTTAGCCTCTATCAGCCAGATCGGAACAAAGCGACATTTATTACGGATGCCGGAGTTTATTGTTATAAAGCAATGCCTTTCGGGTTGCGAAATGCAGGAGCTACCTACCAGAAACTAGTAGACAAAGTTTTTGCGGACCAAAAGGGAAGAAACGTCGAAGTATGCTGATCAGTGGCCATTTGGCCCACTTTTCTACTTCGTTTCTTCCCCGATTGAGCCCTTTGTTTGCCCTTTTTCCTCTATTTTAGCTTAGTTTTGTTATTATTGAGCATATTTGTTACTTGGAGTGGTTTTGAGTCATTTTTGGCTCATTTCCTAAGGTTTTATTCCCTCTCCTTTAACCCATTTCAATTTGCTCCTATTAGAACCTTTCCTATGATTTGTGTTTTCCATCTTACAGGTCCTCCCGTGGCTAAGAAAGCAAGGATTGGATGCAAGGATTAGGCATGCTTTGGAGTCAAAGGGATTGGAGCATTAGAGCCCAAAATATGAAGGAAAGAAGAGTTCAGAGCGGGCGCTCTAGATATGGAGCGGGCGCTCTGTATTCCTTGCTGCAGAAAAACCAAGTACCCAACCCTCAGAGCGGGCGCTCTAATGTTGAAGCGGGTGCTCTAGCTCCCAGAATAATCAGAGCATTTTCTGCGAGACTTCAGAGCGGGCGCTCTGGCCTTAGAGCGGGCGCTCCGTGTTCCCCTGACCGATTTGAACTCTGCTACACGCGTAGGCCGACGACTCTAATTATTTTACTCTGCACGTGATGCCTAAAATTTTGGGCCTTGATTTGGGTTAGGTTTTAGAGGAGGGTATAAATACCTCTCTTCCTTGTAATTGGGAGGAGAGAGGTATGTAGAGAGAGAAATATTAGAAAATCAGATTTCAGCTTATTGTTTTTTTTCTTTCTTTTTGCACTTTAGATTAGTTAGGGTTTAGTTCCTCATTAGATCTAAAACACTACTCTTTGTTACTCTCTTTCATTTTCAATCCAAGATTAAATCTTTTGGTATTATTTCTATCCCTACTCTTTATTTATTGCTTTATTTATCTATTTTAATTAGTTTTAGCTTATCTTTAGTTGTTATTTCAAGTCAATAGAATAGTTTAATATCTTAGTTGCCTCCTTGTTTAAACTTGCAATTTCTGGTTTTGATCCTTTATTTTCTTGCTATTAGTATAATATTATCCTTATTTGCTTAGATTTCATGCTATTTAGAATAGATTACAAGTAGACTTAACATATTCTCTTCAAAGTTAACTTCTTTAGTAAAGTTTAATCATCCTATTTTCTGGTTTTAGCCATGTTTCTCTCATTAAACTTAGTTTTTGCTTTTGTTAATGTTCTTGTGTGCTTTGGTATGACCCTTCCTTCTCTAGGCTAGGTTTCTAGCTAGGGGAGGGGGAAATGATGAACTAATGATGAAATGAATGATATGTGGTGCAAGATTGGGTAGATTGAGAAGTTTTGCAATTGATTCCAACCTAGGTTTTAGTTGTTAGGAATTAGAGATTGATCACCTCTAAGACCCTATTTTGTGTTGCATGCTAGTTGCGCGAGAGTGAGCTTGTATGTGATGATGACTAGGTTAGGGATGACCTCGACCACCGAGGCGGGGTTGGGTAGGCGGTGTTTAGGTGAGCCCGAGAGGGAATCCTAGATGTTGGACCATAGGCCCCAATTGTTTGGTTGACCGATTGAACCATTCTTGTTGCCTCTAATTGTTGAAATCATTGTTAGTTAGGAATTCTCCCCTATCCCCTAGTGTTTGCTATTCCTTGATTTTCGAAGTTTTATACCTCTGCTTGTTGCTTGTTAATTTAGTTCTTAGTTTATTTGTTTCCCTAGTAGCTATAGATAAATCCATCAAAAATTTATTCCTCCCTTTTCAATTGACTTATAAGTGATCTAAGCAAGAGACGTTTGACCTTCCCTGAGGATTCGACCCCTCTTCCACTATGCTACCTTTGGTTAGTTTAGGACGTGGGTTTTCTTTTTATTCTTGACTCGACCTTTAGGAACTAACGACACCTAGGGGGCCGATCATATGCGTGGATGACTCTAACAGGGTAAAGTCGTATACCCTAATAAAAAATAATTACCTAAATTCTCTAACTAAAGTAGATAGGGAAGTAGGGTCGAACTCCATAGGGAAACAAGTCTTTTTACTTCTAATTAATTATTATAATATAAATTATCTAAGTAACCAATATTTTTATGAATAAAATCTAAGCTACGGAGAATAAGGTCGAAAGAAATAAAGTAGGGAGAAAATCAAATATTAAAAGGCCTAGGGCATAGGTTCACTAATAAATAATATTCCAGGGCAAATCATAATAAGCAATCATCAAGCATTGGTTAATCAGATTATAAAGGGCTTTCGCTACGTATTATAATCACAGAGTTAATTTACCGGTATTAAATCTCATCTGTCGAATCTCGACTTAACCATTTATAAATTAATCCGCCTATTGAAACTAAGCCAAAACATCAATTCTCATCTGTCGAATCTCGAATTAATATTGCTAAACTCATACAATTAAATCTGGCCAAACCTAATTTCATAGCATTTAATCAATCAATAGGAAATCAACCAAGCATTGATAATTTACAAACACAAAATTACCCCTTCATATCATTTATTCGATCCCCATAAACCCTAGAAATTAAACTACTCACAAATCATCATGACTAAACTAATCAAATAAATAAATAAAAGCATAATCAAGAAAGCAAATAAAATAACTGAAATTAAAAGGGAAGAAATTGTTACCAAAAAGAAATCTGGAATTAAAGGAAGAATTAAGAACAAAAGTTGAGAGAGAATTTAAGAGAGAGAAAAAACTAAGTAGAGAGAGAAAGTCTAAGAAAGAAGGTAATCTAAAAATTCCGTACAAAATCGTATTTAAATGTTTTCTAAAGCAAGAATTAAAACTAAACTTAATCAGGTCTTCCAGAAACGCGCGCCCGATCGGGCGAAGGGCCGCCCGATCGGGCGCGCCTTTTTCTTCGCGTTCTTCCCAAGCAACATCGCCCGATCGTGCTAGATGCTCGCACGATCGGGCGCGCCTTAGCATGCACAACACTATGGTTTTCCGCGCCCGATCAGGCTAGAGGTTGCCCGATCGGGTCTTTGCTCCTCTTGAGGCTTGGACTTCGATTGGGCTAGATTTCTCGGCTCAATCTGGGTTTCCTCTCGGGTCTCGAATACTTGGTCCAAATGCCTCGGGATCCCAATTACCGAGCCCTTAATCACCAACTCTCACCGATCTTGGGCTCCAAAAGTGGTCGTGTCCTTCTAGCTTCTGTAGTTGATCCATAAAGCCCGGGAAAATGCTCCAAGAGTGCAATTTCCTGTAAAATACAACTAAAACTACGAAAACACTACAACACACAAATTAGTAATAAAAGTGGCCCGAAAGAGCCAAAAACACTACTAATAACGACCAAGGGACGGGGGTAAAACACTATATAAAATGGACATATCAAACTCCATCGTAAAAATCCGTCTAGCTATCGATCATGTTGAAGATCTAAGGGAAACCTTCAATACCCTACGACGGTATCGAATGAAATTAAATCCTGAGAAGTGCGTATTTGGCGTCAAGTCCGGAAAGTTCTTAGGCTTTATGGTTAGTGAAAGGGGAATTGATGCAAATCCCGATAAAATAGAAGCCATTCTTAGTCTTCCACAACCCAAATCCATTAAAGACATACAAAAGTTAACGGGTCGGATGGCGGCATCAACTAGATTTATCAGCAAATCAGCCGATAAGGCATTACCATTCTTTGTCATCCTCCGACAGAACAAGACTTTCGTTTGGGGACCAGAGCAGGCGAAAGCGCTAGAAGCCGTTAAAAATCACCTACGATCACTGCCTACAATTGCCAGACCAGAGACAGGAGAAACATTACAACTTTATATATCGGCATCCCCGAAAACGGTAGCGGCTGTGTTGTTAGTGGAGCGGAAAAAAATACAGATGCCTACATATTTTGTTAGCCATATCCTAAATGCTGCAGAACGAAGGTACCCTCTAGTAGAAAAAACCACGTATGCAGTAGTCATAGCAGCAAGGAAACTGCGACCATATTTCGATGCACATACCATCGAAATATTGACGAATCAGCCGTTAAAGAAGTCCCTTCAGAAAATGGAAACTTCCGGTCGTTTATTGAAATGGGCAATTGAGTTATCGGAATATGTGATGATTTATCTGCCAAGAGTTTCAATCAAGGCTCAGGCCTTGTCAGATTTCATAGTTGAAACTTCTTACACTGAAGAAGAGGAAGCAATCGGCGCATGGAAAGTGTCAGTTGACGGCTCATCGGCCTCAACTGGATCAGGAGCCGGTATCATCATTGTTTAGGGTAATTTTACCCCGCCA